GAGGACGGCTTGTCTAACAATGCACCCGTCCTCCATTGAAACTAACCAGTCGCTTCTAAATAAATAAAAATGTTATTTTTTCTTATTTATTACAAACATTTATATAAATTACACAATGAATTAGTAGCTACTAGGATTACATTATACAGTAATAAAAGAAATACTAAGTTACTAATAGTAAAACCTAGTATTTCTTTTATGAAATAATTTAAATGACAAAGGTCAAGTTATCTGGAATGTCAATTTATCCGAGGGTACTGCGTTTTTTAAATGAATCAAATATGACGTTTGCCAGTTCCACAATCAAGGCAGTGATTTACAAAGGTTTCTGCACAGAAATCTGAAAGGGGCATTCCATTCAGGTGGAAGTTCATAATTGCGCTTAACGCTTACGTAATGTGTTTTTTTTTTGTAAGTTCATTGCTGAAAAGTCCCTCTCAACTGCTGCAGTACTCCCAGACGGAAAAAACACCAATTCACCATGCGCAGTATGTTGCTGTACGGTATTTCAAGATTGGAGGGTCATTTTAGAAGTGAGACGCTAGACTCTTGTAAGATAACAAAAACTGAAAGTGTATCACGAACATTAACGGGAAAATGCCCGTCCGCGCGGACGTCTGATTCGAGAAATTCATTGTCCGCTGGAAATTTTTGACCGCCGAGGACGGGCGGTTTTTCGAGCCCTGAAAAAATGGCTTTAATTTTTTTAAAAAATTTGTTCTTTTATTTATTTTTGTGACCGTTAGTTTGCTTACATCGGCATAAAATGTTTCATGCGACATGCAACTAGCCATACCGGCATCAAGCTAAGAGCTCCGATTAAAATTAAGCACTTCAGCTTGTCAAAAAGTGGTCTAAATTTTGATTGTGGATTAAATTCCTTTTGTCAATAAAATGACGCTAAATTCTGCTTTTAGAGGTTAGGAAACCATTTTAATTTGCTTCGTCATCGAGCACTGGGTTTCCATTCAAATTTGAGCCTTCTAGATATTCGGAAAGTGGTCAAAATATCAATTGATCATCATCTCGTATTTCCGAAAATATATCAATTAATTTTACTTTCAGTGTTCAGGAAACATTAGACAAATGGTATTGTTATCTAGCACAGAGCTCCAGTAAATTGAGCACTCGACGGAAACTGGTCACAACTTGGTAATAAATTCTATTTGGTAATTAAGTAAAAAGACGTTAAATTCTTGCAACTAGTATTGTCTGTCATCAGGCGCAGAGTTGTTGTCAAAAATTAAGCATTCTAACCATGTGAGGAAGATAGAAACTGATTCCATTGTTACATATACGAAAGTGAGTTGATGAAAACGTTCCATAAATACAGATACATATATTGATTCCAAAATATTGCTAAACTTCTTCGGGATCATCGATCGCGAAGGGGAAAAACGTATGAAAATTAGACTCAAAAGATTTGAAGTCTTACTTCATCTTTCTATTACTCTTCCCCTTAGGAAAATTTGCCATAGGTTTGCCATAAAAAATGCCATAGGATATTTCTATGGGGGTTTTCCCATACATGTATGGCAAAATTTTGCCATATGCAAAACCCCATAGGAATATCCTATGGAATTTTTTTATATGGAAAATTTTGCCATACATGCATGGCAAAATTTTGCCATACGTATATGGCAAAATTTTACCATAGGCAAAACCCCATAGGAATATCCTATGGCATTTTTTATATGGCAATTTTTTGCCAAAAAACTAAGATGTGCTTCAGCTTATGAAGAAATATTTTTCCATAGGCTATGGTACACCTTTGCCATACAGCTATGGCCACATTTCTTGTTGATATTTTACCATACATCAAAAAATAGTTACTTGCAAAAATCTTTCGCAATGGATATTAAAAATGCAAAACTTAATAATCGTAAAATAAATATATATCCAAAAAGCTTTTTTTAAATTTCTTTGATAAACTTCTCCTGTTTTACTTGCAGAATCCTTTTTGTATGCTGTTCGTATTCAAATAAATTTCAAACGTTTAGTACTAACCGTTAGAAAATGGGTCCGGTAGTCGGAGCGAGTGGGGAAAATATTGGTTCTGTTGATTAGGAACAAAATATATTGAGTACCGGCAACCAATATTTGTTAAAGCTGTAAAAAACAAGAAAAGAGATAGTGGATCCAGAGGTCGGAGCGAATACAAAAAACCTTAATTTGATTGATTGGTATCATAATTAGTTAGATAAGCGTCAGATATTAGAGGAACCTAAAAGAAAGCGAAGCAAAATAATGGTCTGATGGTCGAAGCGAGTATGAAAATTTTTTAAATTTTGATATGTGATACTAAACTAAAAATTAAACAGACTACTAAAACAATAAAATACTATTAAAACTCAAAAGATAAAGAGTGGGGCCGGTGGTCGAAGCGAANAACATCCCTGAGGATGATCCGAAGACATGCCATCACAATTTTGATCCTCTTCAGAGGGGATGGCACCCCCGCTTCGGTAGCCAGACGATCTGCACGCGAAGTCGAGCACTTTATGGTAGAACAGTTTAACGAGGACCAATACCGCACCGCAAGTATCAGAACATGATCTAATTTACATTTATAGGTGAGGAAATAATTTATTTATTTTTAATTACCATACAAAAAACATCTGTTACCACTTTATTTTACTTTTAACTAAAAGGGGCTTCTTGAAGAAGTGAAGTCTTTAACTGCATTTCTAGCACTCGTAGACGCACATGCTTAATCATAGGGGGCACGTGCCCCCTCCTCCAATAATTTTCAAAAACTTCGAAAGATTTAGGTTGCTAACTTTTTTAAACCTACTCAAAGCTATTTTTATCAGTTATAAAAATGAAAATTTAAAAAAAATTAAATATTAAAATTTTTCTATTATGTAACAAGAGCCGCGATGACTCAGAAGATAGAGCGTTCGCCTTCCAATGAGGTGAACCGGGTTCGAATCTCGGCGATGGCTGCTCGATACGAATTCCGCATCCGGCTTGCACCGACCACAGTGCTGACGTGAAATGTCCTCATTGGTGGACGGATCACGGGTTAGGGTCCTCTTGCCGTCAGGCTAACCGAGGGAAGTTCTCGTGGTCTTCCTCTCCATGCAACGCAAATGCTGGTTAGTTCTATCAAAAAATCCTCCACGAAGGCGCATTTTTCTCAATACTTGATCCAGAAGTTCCCTTGTCTTCTGGATTTGGTTCAAAATGACAAGGCTACTTGGTTGAACATTAGCAGTAGTAAACCCAAAAATTGCTTCGGCAGTTCAACAACGGTTGTAAAATAAAATATAATGTAACAAAATAATTTCTCTCTATGATGTAAGTGATATTTTAAAAACCATTTAATTTTTATTAATTTTATTTAAATTCGAAATCAACGATTTTAATGGAGCAGAAGTATTATCATTGTAAGTTTAAAATCATAGTTAGTAGTTTATTTGGTTTTATTTACGCACAATAAAAAAATTTTAAATTATTTTCAATATAATCACAGTGTAATAATCTTTAAAGATACTTTTCCTGACTGTTAAAAGTTTTCTAGAATCGTTTTAATTCATTTTTGTTCCATAGCAGCAAAAAACTTAACATTGTGTTAAAACTACTCAAAATTTATATTCTGATTGACTTAAAACATAAATGTTTTAGGTAAAAGTTTTGTTAAATAGCTTCATATAATAATCTCGTGATTAGTAACCAATTAATTTTTTTTTCTTACAAAAAATCTTTTTTTAATTACTAATTAATTTTAAATATAACATAAGATATTTCGGTATGTTTCCATCGAATGTGTTCGAAATTATACAGGATTCTCAAACAACTTTGAAAAATTTGGCTTCTAAATTGGAAGACCACATCATCCTAAATGTACAAGATATCAAAAAGTGGCATACTGTTACCCGTAATAAAAATTTTATAATTTTTGATTTTAAGGTCATCTCATAAATCATCCAATCTAAAAATTTCATGGTTAAATTATAAATTATGTTGCATTTACTTCTCTTAATATAAATAAATATAGATCATATAATGTATGAAATACCATCAAAGTTGAAGTAAACTAATTTCTAAAATAAATAAAACGTTTGTGCTCCCTCCCCCTCCCTCAAAAAAACCCCTTTTATCATACATATATAGGTCAAAATTTGAGGCTATTATGAAAAAAAATTGTTTTTCAGGCAAATTATAGAAAATAAATCGCTCTCTTAAATAATTTAAAAATAATAAGTAAAAAAAAAAGCATTCAAATGCCCAAATTCCCCTTTCTGATATAGGTAGTCTTTGTTATATTTTTTTTAAAAAAAATACTGATGGGAAAAAATGAACCTAATTTTTGAACCTAAATGAATTTTTCGCATTTTAGATATTTTGAACTCGAAATATAATTTCCTACTACATGCTGTTATTTACATGCGAATTATTACAAGCATCTTAAATATCATCTAAAAGGGAGGGAGGGCTAAAATAATTTTTTCGGCAGTATATAAAAATAAATTTAAAAAAAAAGCACGAGAAATCTTAAATTCGAAACTAGAGACCCTTTCGACATTCGTGCTATAGATCATGCCCACTGATTCAATATAAATTTTAAAAAAATAAAAAAATTCTTAACCGTCTTGCTCTTTAGAAACTAATTTTTTTTTCATTCTTTAAAAACATAAATCACGTTCGTAGCTCGTAATACCTGTTCTTTAACTTTGACAAGTCCAGCTGTGTACCGTAAAGACATGGTTCCCAGTAGAACACCGAAGTCAAGCATCACTGGCTGCAGTCAGTAAGCGGGTGGGTGACAAATTTGATCAGCCTGCTGTTCTACCGTAAAGTGCTCGACTTCGGGTGCAGATCGTCGGGCTACCTAAGCAGTGGTGCCATCTCCTCTGCAGAGGATTAAAATTGCGATAGCATGTCTTCGGATAATCCTATGGGATGTTTCCGGGACCGTCGCCAATAGCTCATCGTGCTATTGGCGACTTTAATAAAGTGCCTACCTTATTTTTGACAAGGATTTAGAAACCACAAACCTTTAGATGTAGACTCCCTGGTGGTGCAGTCGGTTCGAACATAGCTAGTCGAGAGCTTCGGTTCAGGGTTCGATACTGGCGTTCATCTTCACAGTCGCCCAACATGATGCACGTTAAATCTGTCATGGATGAAAATCCTCTCGTTAGTATGGTATAGAGGGGGGAGTATCCACTCAGGACCAGACATATCGTCTGACAAATTTACTTGGCTGAAGCTGTTAAATATCTTTATTTTATGTATGCAGGCTTTGTGAGCTCAAAGTACAGCTTAATAACCCTTTGTTAATTTAAGGAGCAGATAGCTCAAGTTGGAGGGAAAAAAACAGGATATGCTTGGAATAGTTTAAGGGATAGACCATCGACGTGGCTGGAAATGAAGGCATTTTTAGGAAAACACATGATTCGTTTAATTAAAAAAAAAAACTGATATCTTAGTTACCAATCTAGTATTTTTTTAGGTAATTAAAAAAAAATTCCGATTAGAAATGAGGAAACTTCCTCACATTCTTCGTTGAACTTTGTAGGGATGGTTTAACATAGTGTTTCCCAAAGTGGTCCATATGGACCACCAGGGGTCCGTGATAAATAAAAACTGATCTAGGGGTCCCTGAACAACGTCAGGGAGTCTGCGTGAGGTTTAATATAAAATAATAAAATTGTTATTGGTTTTTATTACGAAGGAAATTAAGATAAATAAAATCGTAGCGATTTTTACATCCTAAGTAAACTATAAATAAAGGTGGGTGCTTATAATTATTAGCAGTGGTTTGTTACAAATTAAACAGTTGATTTACAAATTTTCTTATATCTTTTGCTCCCTTTTTAAGAGATAACAGTATGAATGAGTCGAAGAAAAAACGCCGAAAATACAATGTTGAATATTTAAAGTATGTCTTTATTTCTTCACCAGGAAATTGTACTTTACCTATGTGCCTCCTATGTAATAAAACTATAACAAGTGATCCAATGAAACATTCCAAGCTTAACGAATAATTGATAAAAGTCCATAGTGATAAAAAAGATAAAGATTTAACTATTATTCAAACAGTCAAAGAAAAATATCTGAAAACACCGTCACTACAACAACATCTAAGAGAAGTGATAATGGATCGCATGTTTCTCATAGTTTCGCATTTTCCATATATTACATGATTGCAAAGTCCGGAAAGCGTCACACTATTGAAGAACTTATTTTACTAGCTGTAAGTGAGATAATACTCACCGGTTTGCACAAACCAGCTTTTAACATTGTAAAAAGAATTCCACGGAGTAATAATAATGTACAAAGAAAGATTGATAATATATCTCAGTGCGTAGAAAATTCTTTACGCGAGTACTTAAAAATATCTGAATTTCTATACAGCTTGAAGAATCTACTTATCCAGGAAACGAAGCTTTTACTTTTAGCTTATGCAAGATTAGTAAAAGAATGAAAATTTTACCAAGAATTGTTACTTGCTAAATGTTTGGAAAGCTATACGAAAGGTGAAACGCTAGTGATTGAATTAAAAGATATACCCTTGACTAATATCATTTCTGTAGCTACTGACGGTGCTCCGGCAATGGTAGGAAGACACCAAGGTTTTTTGGTTAACTTAAAACAAGCTGCAGCGAATGTATTTTCAGTACACTTGCCAAACTTACCGAAACTAATTTGAAACTACAAGATGAACAATTAAATTTAATCAAAACTAAAATCGTAAAACTGCGTTTGATGCAAAACTTGGGAAGAGGATATTGTTCTCTTAGTTTCAGTGCCGTAGGGAACCTCATCATAAAAAAATATATATATATATATATATAAATGATTAGAAATTAGTGCTCACAAACATTGAGCCGGACATAATCAAATCTCACATTCATCTAAGTCTTTAATTTGGTCATAAAAGCAATCTAATAGTTACTAAAAGTCTGCTAAATTATCTAAAATCTATACTGAAATATATAATCAAAATAGTTCTAATTTTTTTATTTATAGTCAAAGATTTAATAATTTGTTTTGTAAATTGATGAAATTTCAATGATGAATAACTACTTCGATCTGATTAACTGCAAATAAGTGTAAATTGTTTAGAAGTGAGCCGTGTTAGAATTTTAATTTATCAGGAAAAAAACTGGTATGGTTATGAATTAGAAGATGGCACAACTAATAAATATGCGAAATATGTTTTATTTTGACTTTTACACAATATATTGAAAAGTACAAAATATTTAATAAAAGTAATGCATCAAAGAGTTCAAACTTTTGAGGTTAAACGTGTTACGGAAGAGGTAAGCCATATTAGAAAATTTAGGATAATTCTTCACACTTAATTTTCCTCAGAGATTTAGAAAACAATACTCTAAAAATATTTTCGTACCTGTTAAAAAGCTCTTTCATTCTTGCTGGAGAGGATAATTTTACTTTCGATATCTACTTGCTTGAATTAGATTCTCCACTTTAACTAGGAAAAACATTCCTTTTAAAAAGAGCAGATACTGACTGGTATAAAAATAAATCACTAGTTTTAAAAGAATTTGATGCAATGTTCAACTGAATTTAGTTCTGACGACATCTACATTTAATTTAATAACCATCCGTAAAGCACAATTATTTACAGAAAAGTCCAACTAACATCCTAATAATTCCTTATTACGAATTTTAAATAAAAATCACGATAAATGTATCAATATCCTCATTATCTGTAAAGGGGTAATTTAAAACTGAATAACTTATTTTAGAGGGAAAGACAAAAATTTATATACATAAAAAATTAAAACCACTTTGTCTATCAAATACTTTTATTCAAAAGAGCATTTTATAATACATATAATTATTTAAAACCGCATCTTTACATGTTACTCATTTACAAATTAGTTTTAAACAACATCTTCCTTAATTTACATGGAGCTCTAATATCATTTACAATAAAGTCTCATTAAAAATTTACATGAACAACATTAAGCTTCTGCCCTATTTACAGAACATCTTACATAAATAGAAATATCTTACATAATTTACATCAAAATATTTATATTCACATGGATTTAAAGTATGAAATGAACAGTGAGATATGAAAACGGCAACTTTGCTATTCAGTTGCACAATACAGAGTCAAAAATATTTATGATCCTCTATTGAAAATTCTCATTGCAAAAATATGTATCATTCATCACAAAAATTAACCTATATACATTTAAATTTACATTAATTTTATTTCTTTTTAAATAGTATATTACACAAAAGAAATCAGAAAGTTAACACTAAAGATTTTACTTCAAAATTTTCTCCTACAACTAAAACTATTCCATTAGTTTTTGATAAATTTAAAAATATTTAAACTTTTATATATGAAAAGCAGATTTGCGCATTTAATTTAATTTTCCAGACTGCATTTTTAGATAAAACACTATTTTCGCTTGAGGTTCCAAGTTATCAGTTTAAATTTTTCCCAGCTTTTAATTTATCAATTTCAAAAAATGTCATAGTTAGAAAAAAAAATATTTCCAAAAATTTAGACTTTAATAAACGCCAGCCGAAAGGGAAAAATTCCGTTCTTAAACTCTCGAGGGCTTAGTGCTACTTATACAGATTTTATAGTAAAAATTAGATAAGTTTTGTTGAACATACGATCAATATAGCGATTGAAGAAAACTGGGAACACTCGCTTTCGCAAAAGTCATTGCAGTATCATATTAAGAGTAAAAATGAGTACATATTAAAAATTAACTAGTTTCATGTTCTTTAATCAATAGATACTTCCGTTAAAGATTTAAGGTCTCTTCACAGCACGAGGATACTGATCCACTACAAAAGAGTGCATGTGTAAATCGAGAAGCTCCCAAACGGCTAGACGAGTGTGAAGCACGACGAGAAAGCAGAACGGCCGTCTCCCACTTCCACGTCATATTCCACACTAGTCTAGAAATCCTATACTATCAGAGCTGACCTATCAAGCAATATTGGAGCAAACAAGTTAGCAAGTTAACGTTATGTTAGTATTAGTTATGTTATGTGCTTATGTTAGCTCTTTGCTCCAAAAATGAATGATAAGTCAGCCTGTCTAATTCAGGGGCTCTAGTCTAGAACATACCGAAACTTTAGATTCACACTTATGCTGCAGATCGATGTCCCCAAATTGCGTAGACCTACTATATCATCAACTATAAACCGCGCTTAATAGGCTGCACTTCATTCAGCTGTCTTATAATCGATGTCTTAATATTTACGTGCTATCAGGTTTAAATTTGGTTCTCTGCAATTATAAAAATGATACAGTTGCAATTTCGATATAGTATCTCAAGATTTACTTTGGTGTATCAAATTTTTATGGCACTCTTCTAATAATGGCGTTACCATGTTAGTTTGCTTTGAGTTAAGCGGTACTATTTTTAAAGTTTAATACCTAAAAGTAGATGAGAATTTCATATAAATTTTAATTCTTAGAAAGTTAGACTTAAATTAACTTTCGGAATCTGAACTGTTTTAAGATTTTGTATAATATAACCCTGGTGTTCTAACATTATTGAATTTTAAATTGGTGTAAAAATTTCTAGCCTTATAACAATGTTTAGCTTAGGTTGAAAAGTAAATGAATAAAAATTTAGAGATGAAATTTTTAGGAATTTGCAAATCTGCATTTCATATTATACACTCGTTTTAATCAAGCTTATTGTTATCTATGTCATTTATTCTTATAGAAGTATTAAACGCATAATCAACATACCATGAGAATAAGGAAATTTTACTGTAAAAAAAGGATTTAAAAATGAATCGATTTAGAAAATTAGTTTATACTTTACCTCGTGAATTTTTTCGGCTTTTCTTCAAATTGTCGATTCATGTTTATAATGGAAACTTTCCTTCTCTGACGAAGAACCTATATTTTTAGCACCGCACAGTAACTAGTTTTTTTTTATCAAATCGATTTATTTGCAATAACTAGCTTAGTTTAAAAAATATGCGTTCGGGATAGATTGAAATAATCATTTGATTCATTATATATTCACTTTACACAGCATCAAAATCAGATTTTTGAAATCTTAAGTTAACAATTAAAAATTCTACTAAATACGTTGGATATAATAATGTTGAAGACACGCAGGTAAATACACATATACAAAAAAATATCTTTTGCATTTTACTAGAAACATATAAAAGTTGAAAGATTTTATTTTATTTCTTAAGATTTATGTTAACATAGTTATTAAATTTTAAATTCGGATAGGTTGGATTTATTTGCACATTCTTTCACGTTTTCGAACAGATTTAGACTTTCGATGTAATATTAAAATGTTCAAATTTTGTCGTCTAACTTTTATTTAAACTTTGTCATAAAGTAAATTCTAAAAACTGATTTGGATCTTTAAGGACGTTATGAATTATGTAACTATTTTCGAAATCATGAAAACAATTTTTTTTTAAATCAGATTATGGGGTATCTGTGTTCTGTAATGATTGTTAAATTTATTTTTTAACTAAGCTCCGCCATGCTTACTTCGAAAACTATTTTTTGCACCCAATACCCACTTTCCTAATTTTAGAGTAGCTTAAGTAAAGTTAATTCTCTATTGAATATGTACTATTTATATGAAGTTCCTCAATGCTTAATGCCTAGCAGCTAACAAGCATTATCCTTTAATAGCTATAAAAGTTTAAAAAGATCCGTTGAATATTATAAAATTTGTGTCAAGTAAACGGTAACGTGAACGTTAAGATTTGTTTTATTCTCCAAAAATCTCGCGAAACCTCAACAATTCAGAAGCGTCACGTGAAAGAGGATGGATAATTACAAGTAGACAATATTCTGCTCTTATTGGTTTCTTAATTTCAGTTTCCTTTAGAATAACTGGTACAGGCATTTCAGTCTTAGTAAAATTCACTAGTTATTGTTAAATGTCTACAGATTTAATTAGTTTTTAGTTTAAAAAGTACTATTTTCACTCCATTTAAAATCGATACACGTTTTTAAAACTCCTCTGTCGATTTCTCTAATAATGTCCCCCGTTTACAAATAATTTGTTTAATTTATACAAATTTCAAAAATTTTATGCATTGAAACAAGACAGGATTTTAGTAAAATTTACACTTTCTTTTAAAAATCTCTACATATTTCCTGCGTCATTTTACTATTGCACAACTTCAGTTATACGAAATGCTATCTCGTAATTAAGAAAAACTTCAATAACTTATACTACGTAATTATGCCCCGTTATTTAACCTTATTTAGCACCAGAGTCCATGAATTAATGTTTTATGGTTAAAATATATGTTATAGTTAGTCATATGTTAGTAATTAGCTAGTATTAAATGAAATAATGAAATAACGTGATGAATGAATAATATGAATGATGTGAACGTGAATATGAATGAAGTGAACAATATGAATGACGTTAACGTGAATATGAATGAAGTGAACAATATGAATGCATAACGAAATTCCTTAAACATGAACTACTTTAAATTTGCTCATCCAGGCATAATTGCATAAAAAAGGGAACTAAATTTAAATTTTAATCTTCCAAATTTTTTTACTTTTTGCAACTTTTGTTTACTTTTTTTAGAGGAAAAGCAAATCGAGGAACATCGATTTAAAGAATTTCGTTATACAAAATAGACTCTGCTGAGAAATAAGATTAAAAACGAAATTAGTTTTGTATGAAACTACAAGTCTATTTATAAAAATATATCGAACTTATTTAATTAGAAATATAATTCCAGTTTATCTTAAGGAATTACCTGACGAAGTTGAAATATTTACTCCTACCAAATTTCTTCAATTCATATTAGGTGAGAAAACATAAGTTTTAACTATAGATAATTCTTGAAAAAATTTCCGCTCTACCAAAATCTACCAGTTTTTTTTCCCCAGAGTGACAAAATACGAACATTTTTTGCCTAAACGTATACTTCTNTTTTTATTTTTAAATTTTTTTTAACAGTTTCGTTCTTAGACTTCTATTTGATATAGAGTACATTAATTTTTTTAATAGAATACGTATAATTGTTATTGCCCATATATACTACATAAATGCTTGACAAATTATTAATTTCTTTGTTTAGAGGAATTCATATTTATAAATAAGTACATAAAATAAGACGACAGCCTAAAGTGTGAAGTATTAACATGTCAAATATACACCATTTAATGTTTTTATTAAGGTTCACAATAAGGCGAAAAGAAGTGCTAAAATGTAGTGCTATGACACGTGACAGCTAGTCTTAAGCTTTAAGGGTTTTAAATAATGTAAGCGGTAATTACACAAACAGATTCTGAATTGTCAGATAATTTTTTTTATTTGGAACAGAATGTGTTACTTTCAATATTAAAATTTGTACTGAATAACAGTACATTACTGACGAGGCGGGATTTATTAAAAAGTATTTTATTAATACAGTGAGTTTAATTTAGGTAATCCTAAATATGCGATATTGTAGGTTGTAGTTCTTTGATTTCCAAGCATCTCGATACCTCATACTTTTCAGCTTTCTAATTTTAAAGATTGTGTATTCAATAAACTATTCCGGTTTTTCCTTGTACGCTTGAATTTTACATTGAAATAAGTTTAAGAGTCTATTTAGTATATTTTAATAACCGACAAAGTTGAGCGAACAATTTTACAGATTCGATATAAATTTTATTAAATCATTTGTTTTAAAGTTTGGCCTAAACTCTTATATTACGTGTATTTTAAGTCGTAGACATCATTTTGAAACTAGCAAATTTACTTCAACTGATTCTCAAATATTGCGATAACAATCACGCATGTGAAAATTTGGTGGAGATTTATTGAAAAAGAATATTTAATTGGTATTACCATAATAAAATTTGATATTAAGCTTTTTAGTTTAAATATGTTTCGTTTGAGAATCGAACTCCAAGTACTTTAGTTTAATTCCCGTAATTTAATTTTCATTTCAAATTTAAACTAGCACTCTCAAAGAAGCAATTTTTAATATTACAACTTCACATTTTAGCTTTTGTACAGGACAAGAGTTTGAAGACAAAACACCAATAACTCGAAATTAGTTTTTATTCGTTGAAAGTTAATTTTCATAAATATTCTAGGTTTATTTTTAAGACATTAAGTCATAATTTATAACGAGCAATAGCTAACAATAAGCTTGTCATAAAACGTTTTGACACGCAATTGTACGTACATACACTAAGCAGGATCAATGAAGTACTTAGTGTACGCAAATTAGATGCACGTTCTCTAAGACTTGAAATTTAATTTATGATATTTAATGAATAAATTATTGACTATTAAAATAATCCATGAATAAAATTTTTAATAGAATAAACTTTAGATTAATAAGATTAATTATTTTTCGTATTTAAGAAAATATTAGAAATAAATTTACTTTAATACTGAGTATTCTTAAATTGCATGCAAGGTATTTCAAAATATGGATTTCGATTTCTTAAGTTTCATTAAAAAGTATGTAGCTTAATTTTTAGGAGAAAAAACTAAATTACAATATTCATAAAATACAAGTGTGGAATCTTCATATTAGAGGAGAACATAAAAATAAACCTTGAGGTGAAGAAATAAAGTTGGTTTAACTCTACAGCTAGGTCATGACAACTAGGAAACTTAAGAAAGTCATCTTGGCACACATGGTCCTCATGGCAACTAGGTCATTTATTGGGATCATCTTGGCACATATGGTCCTCATGGCAACTAGGTCATTTATTGAGATCATCACATGGCAACTAGGTCAGTAATCCTTGCACACATGGTTATCTTGGCAGCTGTGTTAGTAATTGAGGACATCTTGGCACAAATGTTTCTCATGGAAAATAGGTCAAAATTGGAGCTCTTGGCAAATACGGTCCTCACGGTTACTATACGACGTTGAAGTATCCAGTACAAAGCCTAGTGTTAAAAATATAAAATGTCTTTACTGTCACGGCAAAATTAACATAATTAGTTAGAGGCAGTGTTCAATATCAGTGCATCAAATCAAGTTTTATAATCATACCTACTCGCAAGTCCTCTGCACTATGTGCTTACATTCCAAAGCACTGGAGTAAAACACAAAAATTTACTAACAAACGCAGACAAAGTTAAAATGAAAACCCTGAGTAATGGTGCAGTCGAAATTTCAATTACTAAAAATTTTAAAGTCTCTACGAAAGTGAAATGGCTTTCAAGTATACAGGGAAACATTGCAGTCAAATATTCGATAGAGTTCATTTGAGTTAGAACTATTTGCCAAAAGACAGTGTGCCGAATTCATTAGCCTCCCGATAGTTATGAGCAGACGTTGAAAACTACCCCTCAACCACTAAAAACTAAAACGGTGAAATAAGTTTAAAAGGTAAGGCACAATATTAACGCAAATAACTCCTGTCCTAACGAGTTAAAAATTAACTTTAAAAACTTACCTAGCTTATGTGAAATGCTACCCACGATGATGCTTACCTCAATGATGCTCACACACCCCTCTCTCCTCCCCCATGGTAACATGTGTGGGAGACCCCGAAACATTCCTAACTAATTAGAGTAAACCAAGTTTTCTGAAACTGAAACCTACCTTAAGGTAGGAGACTGGCTTCAACATATTTTTACAAAGGCTAAATTAAATTTGTTAGCAAGGATCCGAAAATTAAAAACTTATGAAATATATTTCAAAAGAAATTTGCTCAAAAACTACGAATACTCCAATGCCAAAACCTCGACAACAAATTATAATGCATAAATTTCAATATAATTTCTCTAGATTAGTGTAATTGCATGCGTTTTGAATTTAAATCCTTTTTAAAAATGAAATATAACTAAATATATTATTTATGAATATTGAATCTTCGCGAAGAAAATTTTTAAATACACCTAAAACGTAAAAAATAAAATAATTCACTCATACCTTAGCTTTTAGTGCAAATAATGGATAACATACAAATCAACAAAAATATCAAATTCTGTAACAAACTGTCTTGATAGAAATCTCAAAATCCACGTTTAGAAAATGAATTCAACTTAAACGTTCATAAAGTTCATTGAGGAAAAAATTCGAAAGTGAAGTCTTAAAAATATAATTCAATCAAATGAAAAGGTTTAAATACTCTAAACATAAAAAAAAATGTTTATTTTGAAGGAGTCTACTTACGGCTATATTTGTCAGCAAACGAAAAAACTAATCAAACTCCATTTATTAAAATCTGACATCAAGAACTTAGATATTTTGGAGATCTAATTAACCAAGTCCAAACATGAATAAAGAAAAATTCAAAATTTTCGTCGAAATTTTTTCTTTTTACCCAGTTAGATACCAGAATAATTTGATTTTTGAAATGGTAAAATATTTCACAATTCAATCGCTAATCAAACACTGTATTAGAGTTTAAATACACCAAATAAAATTTATAGTCAACAATTTCTTAATACTATCAAAATACTTACCAATCACTAAACTTTAAAGTAATAATCAATATTTTGCTGCAAGGTATATTCTTTCAATCTAACATAAGTAATTTTCAACAGTAGAGTATCAAGCTGTAAAATCATAATCGGTATTCTGCTGCTAGGTATATTCTTTCAAACTAGCTTTAGTTACTTCCTGTGGTAGAGTATCAAACATCAATTTCAAGGAAATCACGGTAGCCTCCTGGATTCTGCAATAAATAAGAAAATGTAATTAAAAATATAATCGTTTAATATGGTTATGTTTCATTAGTTAAATATTTAATGCTGTGTACACAGTGTCGTAAGAACTACGGAAAAACTATTAACCCGCTGAAAAAGTATCTTACTAAAGAGCTAAAAACATGTAACAATTTAAATGTACTTTTATGTCAATACAAATATATTGTTTAATAATAATTTAAAACAATATTTTTAATTTCTTAAATTTAAAATTACGTAAAACTTATTACTAAGTTTCGTTTGAATAACACTATTATTGATCAAATATTTTCCTCGAACCAAACCTGCACCTGTTAAATTTCGTAGCTGTTTGCTTAGAAATTGGTATCCTTCGTGGCAGAGTGGATGTTTTTGGCTTTATATAGTAAGTTCACCAGGAGCGAACACTTTGTTCTGCCTACATCACGTAATAACCGACCATTTCGCTATTTTTAGGAAAAGAATGTGAACAATCCTGAACAAGGTTGCTATTTGGCTATCTCAAGACAAAATTATTTATTTCACAATCTATGTGCATTTTTTTAATATTAAATATTTCATAAATTTGATGATACTTCTCTTTTGAGTGAATCGTTTGTACTTTAAGATATTTGTCGGGAAAAGAGCAGTTTTTAAATTTAAAATATATTTAATTAGCTAGAGTAACGAAAGGTATAATAGAATCCACTGCATGTGCTTGGTACGCATTAAGGGTAGTCTCAATTTCAAGAACGGAGATGTTTCTCCTCTTACTCCCGCGATGGAATGAACACAGCCTCCATGGAGGTGGAGCCAAGTGCCAACTCCTGGTGAACGAACTATACCTAAGGGCCGTTGCCACTCAACGTTATGTGCATACAAAATATTTGTTAAATGAAAAATTGTACCTGAAGTAATGCACCATTAAAATTTTGAAAGTTAAATCTTTTAGACACATTTTAAAGCTACAGGCACTTCGTATTCGTAAATTTGCCATAAATTTCGCACTAACCTTTCACTGATAGGCCTGTTAGTATGATTAAGCGACTAGTGAAAAGATGATCCCTACAAAAACATTAACTTAATATAACATATCACCAGCCTAAAATTATAACGACATTTACATGAAAACCTGAAGATGAATGCCAAAGTTTCTAGAATCCGAATATATAGATTTTCTCCAAAAAAGAATTAAAATTAAACTTAATTATAAAAAAAACAATGATAGGTAAATGCTTGTGTGTCTAAGCAAAAGCCATCGTGAACTTTTAAATAAGTGTTCTAATACAATGAACATTCGATTTTTAAATTTTCAATTTGTAGAAAACATAAAAGCAATCCTAACTTAAACAAATTTAAATATTATAAATTTCTAAAATTTGCTGTTAAACATTGTACATTTATAAGTAATGTATCACTAATATTAGATTAATATTAGTCTCAAATTCTGAAAAGAAAGAGTTTAAAGACTTAATATTTTGTTCATTTTAAAACAATTTTCAATTTAGTCAAAAATTTTGAATGACATTAACTGTTCAGAATTTTAAATCGATTTACTGCAGAAATCATGAAGCTTAGCTAAGTTGGGCTGCGATGGAAACTTAAAGTAAGTTGTAACCTTTTAAATAGAAATACCTTTTAGAAATTTTCAACGCTGTACTCATTTAAATATCACGAAAAAACACGTAAAATTGAAATTAGTCAACAATGATTGCAAAACCTTTAGCATACAACCCGTAAATTACATACAACAATCTGATTTTATGTTTCAGTGTGATATTATTTAACACATTTAACTGAAATTAGCAAATAGTTTTCTGATTTTAATGCCTTGGGGGTAAATGCTCTATTAAAACACAGTAGAATCTCCCTGTAAAGAGATTTTTATTTTGAAAGTTACGCAACACATTAATGCTTTCAATACTTAAATCAACTTTCTAAGTTCCATTAATTTCGAAGAAAGTTGATACAGTTAGAATTTCTCAACAAACAAATTCGTTATTCACTTCAGGAATTACACAATTGAATTATGAGCGAAATTTTCAGACAAAAATAATCGCAATCAAAAGGAAAAACTTATTTCACAGCAATTCTTTATTACTTATTGATTTACTTCTAATTAAAAAAAATTCACTTGAATTTATTGCTGAAAGTTTAAATCATTTACTGAACTGCAGCAAACAACTTTACTGAATAACGAAATTAAACGGTGTTACCTGGTATAAGGGATGAAAAGATACCAAAATGTGCGGGGGTTGAGAAACAATACAAATTCTGTGTGACTTAAAAACCTAGCTTGATTGCAAAACGACATTTTGTTTTTCTTCAACTAAACTCAAGCTTCTGAAAGTTAAAACGATTTTAAGAAATGTTGGTATACCCTAACCTTCATTAAACTATTAATCTTAAAAATTTCAAACTAGTGGGATTAAAAATAATGCAACTCAGTTTAACACGAAGCATTAATACCGTTGTTTAAAATATACATATGCATACATAAGTATAAATATACGATATTTCTTAATATTGATGGGGAATAGTCTTTCCAATTTTAAACAATCACGGATCTTCGCAAGTTCATTAAAAATCGGAGAAAACAAATTTTAAAAATTACACTTTTATATTTAGTATTAATTCATTATCCCATCAAATAATAAAATATATTTAAAATTACCCAAGAAAGACAGTTATTAAAACAGGTATACTATTCTTAAAAGCAATTACTTTCAGTGGACAAATACAAGCGTACCACCAATAATTACGAAAAATTTAAATGTGAAAATAAAAAAACTTTAAAAAAAAAAGAGAAAAGTAATCTAAACAAGCTTCTATTAAATTGGTAATAAATTTATTGGTTGAAGATCTTCAAAAAAAAAACCTCAAAGAAAACAGACAAAATCACGTACGGTATCCATCTAGTATTTAAAATGAGACTAAATACACAAGACTACGATTTAAATATTCGGTTTAACNATTTTCAACTTTTAGAAAACAAAATATTTAGATTTGTTTTAGTTAGGATTGCTTTTAAGTTTGCTACTGAAAATTTTATACTTATGATAAATTCTACGATTAGTTCGGTGCAACATATTTATGCCATTAAATTAAAGCCTCAAATTTTGAAAAGGAAGAATTTAAAGAATTAATATTTTAGTTCATATTAAAAACAATTCTTTTCTAGTCCGAATTTTCGAATGACATTAACTGTTTAGAATTTTAAATCATTCAGAGAGTTACGAAACAGAATTCCTTATCGGTGTTCGTAGCTTAGCTAAGTTGGGCTGCGAAGGAAATTTAAAGTACGCAGTAACCTCCCGAATAGAAACGCCTTTTAGAAATTTAAAAGTGTACAACATTGCAAATAAGAAAAAACACATAAAATTAGCAAACAATCACTGCAAAACCTTTAGTACACATCCAGTAAATTATATACAACTATCTGATTTTATGTTTCAGTGTGTTATTATTTAACACACTTAACCGAAATTAGCAAATAGTTTTCTGATTTTAATGCCTTGAGGTAAATGCTATATTAAAATACAGTAGAATCTCCCTATAAGGAGATTTTTAATCTGAAAGTTACGCAACACCTTAATGCTTTCAATACTTAGATCAACTATCTAATTTTCATCAATTTCGAAGAAAGTTGATACAGTTAGAATTTCTCAACAAACATATTATTCACCTCCGGAATTACACGATTGAATTAGGAACGAAATTTTCAGACAAAATTATAACAATTAAAGGAAAAACTTATTTCACAGCAATCCTGTATTTCGTATTGATTTACTTCCGATTAAGAGAAGTTCGTTTGAATTTATTGCTGAAAATTGAAATCATTTGCTCAACTGCAAACAAACTACTTTACGTAACTGAATAACGAAATCAAACGGTGTTACCTAGTTCAAGAAGAAACAGAATGTGAAAAGAAAAACCAAAGTGTACGGGAGTTGTGAAACAATAAAAATTCTGTGCGATTAAAAGTTTTCTGTTTAGGTTCACTATAAGGCGAAAATAAAACTTTAAAAATGCTGTGCTATGTTACGTGACCGCGAGTTTTAAGCTTTAAGGGTTTTAAATAAATGTAAGCGGTAATTACAGACTGATTCGGAATTGTCGGATAAAAATTTTGATTTGAAACAGAATGTGTTACCTTAAATATTAAAATTTGTACTGAAATAACAGTACATTACTGAAGAGGCAGAATTCATTAAAAACTGTCATTTTATTAATACCGTGCGTTTTATTTAAATAGTACTAAATATGCCATATTGTATGTTCTAGTTTGACTTCCAGACATCTAGATACCTGAAATAGTTTTCAGATTTCCAATTTTAAAGAATGTGAATTCAATAAACTGGTTTTCCCTACACGCTCGAATTTTAGAGTGAAACAAGTTTGAGACTTGGTTTAGTATATTTTAATAAAAGCAGATAAAATTGAGATGAGTAAACAATTTTATAGATCCGATATAAATTTTATTAGATCATTTGTTTTAAAGTTTGGCCTAAACTTTAAGAGTACGTGTATTTTAATCGTAGACTATATTTTTAAACTAGAACATTTACTTCAACAGATTCTCAAATATTGCGATAACAATCAAGCATCTGAAGATTTTTTTGGTGAAGATTTAACGAATATTTAATTAGTAAAATACCAAAATAAAATTTGATATTTAGTTCTATTCATCTAAATATGGTTTGTCTGAGAATCGAACGACAAGCATTTTAGTTTAATTCCCGGAATTTAATTTTAATTTCAAATTTTAAACTGGGACTTTAAAAAAAAAATCAGTTTCAATATTACATTTTAGCTGGTGTACCGGACAACAGTTTGGAGCAAAAACACCGCCGGTTGAAAGTTGAAACCATTTGCTCAACCGCAGAAAGCAAACTAATTAACTGAATAACGAAATTAAACTGTTACCTGGTCAAAGAAGGGGACAAAAGATACCAAGATGCATGGGGTTTGTGAAACAAAATCTGAGAGGCCTAAAAACCTAGCTAGATTGCAAAAAGTGCTTTGAATACAGAAGACACTTTGTTTTTCTTTAACCAAACTCAAGCTTATGCAAGTTAAATTAGTTCAGGCAATGTTGGTATACACCAACCGTTATTAAACTATTAATCTTAAAACTTTCAAATGAGTGAGATTAAAAATATTTAGAGTAAAAAATAATGCAACTCAGTTTAAAATGGAGCGTTAATACAGTTGTATAAAATATACATACATGCTTATACAAATGTATAAATATAAGATATTTCTTAATATTGAGGGGATATCTTCTCAGTTTTAAACAATCACGGAACTTAGAAAAATGAATATTGGAGAAAACAAAACTTTAATTACTTTTAGTACGTGTTCATTTTATTTTAAGAAAGTTAATATCCCATCAAAAATACGAATCAAAATATTTTAAAAATTACCCTAGAGGGTCAATTATTAAAACAGGAATACTAATCTTTCTGAAAAAGCAATCACAAATTATAGACACACACACAATTACAACCGTACCACTAATAATCACGAAAAACTTAAATGCAAATTAGAAAAACTTACTTTAAAAAACATCAAGAGAAAAGTCATCTATAAACAACCTTCTGAAAATTGGTAATCATCGGTAACAAATTTATTTCTTGAAAATCTTCAGGACAAAAATGCTTCTTCGGACCAAAACTTCAGAGAAAACATCCAACACAAAATCACGTACGTTATCCATCTCAGTATTCAAATTGAGAATAAACACACAAGACTACACTTACATATACAACAGTTCAGAGACATAAAGAGCTCATTCAATACCAGTCGTGCCTCTCATTTTATATCCCTTAATATCGATAACGATTAATTTCTGCCAAAGTTGAGTTGAGTTGATGATATGGTAAGTAAGTACATTATTTACGTCACACTAGAGCTCCACCATGCGTGATTAACAACTGTCTTCGAAACATCGCTGAGGATGATCCGAAGTCATGCCATCACATTTTTGATCCTCTACCCAGAGAATGGCACTCTCACTTTGGTGGCACGATAACCAGTACAACAAAACAGTTTAACGAGGACCGATACCGCGCACCCTCGGCCCCTACGAATACTGATCAAANATGTAATTTCTCTAGATTAGTATAATTACGTGTGTTTTGAACTGAAATCTTTAAAATTAAATATAACTAAATATATTTATGAATATTGAATCTTCATGAAGAAAACTTTTAAATACTCATAATTCACAAATTGATAACATACAAATCTACAAATAATCTTAAATTCTAGAATAAACTGATAAAAAAATCTTAAAATAGACGCTTAGAAAATGAGTTTACTTTAACGTTCATAATTATTTAACACATTTAACCGAAATTAGCAAATAGTTTTCTGATTTTAATGCCTTGGGGTAAATGCTATATTAAAATACAGTAGAATCTCCCTATAGATTTTTAATCTGAAAGTTACGCAACACTTTAATGTTTTCAATAGTTAGATCAACTTTCTAATTTTCATCAATTTCGAAGAAAGTTGATACAGTTAGAATCTCTCAACAAACATATTAGTTATTCACCTCCGGAATTACACAATTGAATTAGGAACGAAATTTTCAGACAAAATAATAACAATTAAAAGGAAAAACTTATTTCACAGCAATCCTGTATTTCGTATTGATTTACTTCCGATTAAGAGAAGTTCATTTGAATTTATTGCTGAAAATTGAAATCATTTGCTCAACTGCAAACAAACTACTTTACGTAACTGAATAACGAAATCAAACGGTGTTACCTAGTTCAAGGAAAAACAGAAGGGGAGAAAAGAAAAACCAAAATGTACGGGAGTTGTGAAACAATAAAAATTCTGTGCGATTAAAAGTTTTCTATTTAGGTTCACTGTAAGGCGAAAATAAAACTTTAAAAATGCTGTGCTATGTTACGCGACAGCGAGTTTTAAGCTTTAAGGGTTTTAAATAAATGTAAGCTGTAATTACAGACAGATTCGGAATTGTAGGATAAAAATTTTGATTTGGAACAGAATGTGTTACCTTAAATATTAAAATTTGTACTGAAATAACAGTACATTACTGAAGAGGCAGAGTTCATTAAAAACTGTCATTTTATTAATACCGTGTGTTTTATTTAAATAACACTAAATATGCCATATTGTATGTTCTAGTTTTTGACTTCCAGACATCTAGATACCTGAAATAGTTTTCAGATTTCCAATTTTAAAGAATGTGAATTCAATAAACTGGTTTTCCCTACACGCTCGAATTTTAGAGTGAAACAAGTTTAAGACTTGATTTAGTATATTTTAATAATAGCAGATAAAATTGAGATGAGTAAACAATTTTATAGATTCGATATAAATTTTATTAGATCATTTGTTTTAAAGTATGGCCTAAACTTTAAGAGTACGTGTATTTTAATCGTAGACTATATTTTTAAACTAGTACATTTACTTCAACCGATTCTCAAATATTGCGATAACAATCAAGCATCTGAAAATTTTTTTGGTGAAGATTTAACGAATATTTAATTAGTAAAATACCAAAATAAAATTTGATATTGAGTTCTATTCATCTAAATATGGTTTGTCTGAGAATGGAACGACAAGCATTTTAGTTTAATTCCCGGAATTTAATTTTGATTTCAAATTTTAAACTGGGACTTTAAAAAAAAAAAATCAGTTTCAATATTACATTTTTACATTTTAGCTGGTGTACCGGACAACAGTTTGAAGCAAAAACACCGCCGGTTGAAAGTTGAAACCATTTGCTCCACCGCAGAAAGCAAACTACTTAACTGAATAACGAAATTGAACTATTACCTGGTTAAAGAAGGGGACAAAAGATACCAAAATGCATGGGGTTTGTGAAACAAAATCTGAGAGACCTAAAAACCTAGCTCGATTGCAAAAAGTGCTTTGAATACAGAAGACACTTTGTTTTTCTTTAACCAAACTCAAGCTTATGCAAGTTAAATTAGTTTAGGCAATGTTGGTATACACCAACCGTTATTAAACTATTAATCTTAAAAATTTCAAATGAGTGAGATTAAAAATATTTAGAGTAAAAAATAATGCAACTCAGTTTAAAATGGAGCGTTAATACAGTTGTATAAAATATACATACATGCTTATACAAATGTATAAATATAAGATTTCTAAATATTGAGGGGATATCTTTTCAGTTTTAAACAATCACGGAACTTAGAAAATTGAATATTGGAGAAAACAAAACTTTAAAAATTACTTTTAATACGTGTTCATTTTATTTTAAGTAAGTTAATATCCCATCAAAAATAAGAATCAAAATATTTTAAAAATTACCCTAGAGGATCAATTATTAAAACAGGAATACTAATCTTTCTGAAAAAGCAATCACAAATTATAGACACGCACAATTACAACCGTACCACTAATAATCACGAAAAACTTAAGTGCAAAAAGTATAAAAATTAGAAAAACTTACTTTAAAAAAACATCAAGAGAAAAGTCATCTATAAACAACCTTCTGAAAATTGGTAATCATCGGTAACAAATTTATTTCTTGAAAATCTTCAGGACAAAAATGCTTCTTCGGACCAAAACTTCAGAGAAAACATCCAATACAAAATCACGTACGTTATCCATCTCAGTATTCAAATTGAGAGTAAACACACAAGACTACACTTACATATAAAACAGTTTGGAGTCAGAAAGAGCTCATTCGATATCATCATCATCGAAATATAACTGGGCGCCTGGGGCCGTTAGCGGCCTTTTTCCCATTCAACTCATTCGATACCAGTCGTGCCTCTTATTTTATATCCCTTAATGTCGATAACGATTAATTTCTGCCAAAGTTGAGTTGAGTTGATGATATGGTAAGTAAGTACATTATTTACGTCACACTAGAGCTCCACCTTGCGTGATTAACAACTGTCTTCGAAACATCGCCCCGCAGTGGACTGATCGTTAAGACAGGGGCCTCCCTGGCCGAGCGGTATTGCCGGTCCAAACGCTCTGTTAAGCGTGGAGGTAGCGGGTTCGAATCCCGCCGTAACCCTGGATGTATTCTTTGTGATGTCTTTCTCTGAATTGTTCTATCTGTATTTTCTACTTGACAATGACTTATAAGCCTATATTGAGCACACAAGTCAGCAAATGTATGTAATTTCAATAAATCAATCAATCAAATAGTTAAGACACGGTTCCCAGCAGATCACCGAAGTCAAGCATCACTGGCTGCGGTCAGGGTGCGTGACCACTTGGATTAGTCTGCGAAGGGACCGAGGGTGTGCGGTATTGGTCCTCGTTAAACTGTTCCACCATAAAGTGCTCGACTTCGCTTGCTGGTCGTCGGGCTACCGAAGCAGGGGTGCCATCCCCTCTGCGGAGGATCAAAATTGTGATGGTATGTTTTCGGATCATCCTCAGGGGTGCTTCCCAGACCGTCGTGCAGCTGCAGTGCGACGTAAAAAGTACCTACCTTAAAGGAATTTTGTTAGCTCACGCTTGCCCATTGTGCAGCTCTAGTGTGACGTAAATGAACTACAAGGACAGTTAGTGAGAAGACAATACATTTCCAGCATAAAACTAATTCAAACTTTATTATTTCTTAGTGATTTCGTAGTGATCACTACGAACTTGAACTTATGATATTGATATAAGTTCTTCTGTTATGTTCTGTTTGATATAAGTTCTTCTTTCGTTACGAGCACCGTATTTAGCAGACGTCAGCACGCTACCGTTTCATAACTGGTTCAATCTGCATCAAATTGCCACTGGGCAATATTCCATTGCCCTATTTTGGATTAATACTACTAAAAGTACATCTTGAGCCGAGGTTGCTTAGGGGATAGAGCACTCGCCTCCCAATGAGGTGAACCGGGTTCAAATCCTAGCGATGGCTGGTCGATTCGAATTCCGCACCCGGCTCGTAGCGACTCTAGTGCTGACGTTATATATATTCTCAGTGGTAGACGAATCATGGGTTAGAGTCCACTTGTCGCCAGACTAATCGTGGGGGAGGGGAATCACGGTTTTCCTCTCCATGTAACGCAAATGCGGGTAGTTCCGTTAAAAAGTCCTCCGCGAAGGCAAATTTCTCCCGCTACTTGATCCAGGAGTTTCCTTGTCTTCTGGATTGGGTTCAAAATTACAAGGCTATGGAATCGAACATTGGTAGTCGTAATCCCAAAATTGGGTCGGCTGTTCAACGGCGGTTATAAATAAATAAAAAAAAGTATATTTTAAATGCGCTTAATATGTATTCTAAGTCAGATAGACATTTTCCTTCGGTTAACAAATCGATAAGAACAAACCGAAATGGAAAGTGCTGCGTTTAAAGTGTATATGACAGAAAACGAGAATCTAAGTGAAAGTGTAAAAACTATAACAGCGACATGATCATTCTCCGAGTCTTGTGAAAGAGGCGGCACTACTTGGTGCTGTCTCTCCTATTGTGCTATCTGTCCTCTTCTACTTGACGAAGGTTTATAAGCCTATTTTGAGCACACAAGCCTGAAAATTTATGTAATTGCAATAACCAATAACCAATATAAGGGGCCTCCCTGACCGAGCGGTATCGCCGGTCCTTAACGCTCTGTTAAGCGTGGAGGTAGCGGGTTCGAATCCCGCCGTAACCCTGGATGTATTCTTTGTGATGTCTTTCTCTGAATTGTTCTATCTGTATTTTCTACTTGACAATGACTTATAAGCCTATATTGAGCACACAAGTCAGCAAATGTATGTAGTTTCAATTTCAATAAAATCAACCAATATAACAGTGACGAAAGTGTTAAAGTAAACTTTTGTTAATTATAATCGATTACGAACTTATATTATTGT